AACAAAATGGTTGGTTTCTCATACATGTAACAGTCCAGAGGTAAAAGGTCCAGAGTTAACACGGAGGCATCCTCCTCAGTATGTGGCTTTCTTCTGTTGCTTGAGAAATTTGTATTAATTTGAAGGGATATTCCAAAGAAGACTGAATGAAGAAAGCAAGCTGTATGTATATGTGTGTGCATGTCTGGACTTGCAAAAAATACATATGTATAAATGTACATATTTCTGAAAGTACATATCTATAAATCCTTATATGTTCATATGTAATTATCTGTATAGAGAGACATAGATATAGATGTATAGAAAAATCAATGGAAGTTCATCCATAAATATATATGCAGTGGTTTTATTGGGTCATTGGAATAGAGGTGATGTTTATATTTTTATTTGTGGTTTTTAAATATATGTAGTATATGAAAAATACAAAATGTGTTCAACTATTTAATGAAAATGGGTTATTTAAAAACTAACATATGCAAACGGAAAAGCCTAGGATGATATTTTTGAACAGGTTTAGTTGTGGATATCTACAGATGGTGAAATTTTATACAATGTTCTTTCTGAATTTCCTGTAAGGTATATGTATTATTTATAGTCAGACTCCTGAAATCTAGTTTATTTTAGTAATGGTCTGAGGAATTCATTTCTTTTAGAAAATACAGGCTAAACTTCATTTTCCAAATGATTGTCAAATTTGAATCATTAGATCTATATAGTGAGATTTTAGACTCGTGTTTAAAATTATTTTCACCCATCTGTATATCTCATGTTCTTGCCAATTTACATGGCTTCCCTGGTGATAGGTGTGTCCATTTATGTTCAGAAAAAAGAAGGGNGAAACATCAGAAAAACACACCTCAACAAGGTAAGCAGGCAAAGGGAAGGATTCACAGCTTTTGAGTTTAGTAAGGCAGTGCCCATCGTGTTCTTGGAGGCCTGTGGTCTCCTGAGGGCTGCAATAGTTTGGACCTACTGTATCAGTTAGGACATGGGCTGAGATGCTGTAACAAAGAGGCCGTAAAATACAATGGCTTAAACAAAATGGTTGGTTTCTCATACATGTAACAGTCCAGAGGTAAAAGGTCCAGAGTTAACANAAAAAAGAAGGGGGGTTGCATCTCTTTTAAGTGTGGATGTTTTCAAAACAAATTATTTGAGATAAGTCATTACAACATTTTCATTTAAGTCTCTGGGTGTGTATAGACAAATTCTAAGACACTTCTTTTCAAGGTCCAGTGAAATCCTACATGTAATTTAAAACTCAACCCTCCTAAAAGTGAACAATGCTCTGGACTCCTGCTTGACTGAGGCCCCTTGTCATTAGCTTTCCTTCTCATCTGAGTGTATGAAGAAAGGAATTCAGAATTAAAGCCAGGATGTCCTCACTTGCTTTCGGGCCCAACTGACACCTGTCGTTTTACCCAACTCTACATCTTCCTGCCTGTCCCTAGGTAGCAGCAAAGCTGATGGCCAGCTGGTCTCCAGTGAGAAGAAGGGGAAAATGAATGTGCCAGGCTCTGCCAAGATCAGGGGTAAGATAAAGTTTGTGCCGCTTTCACTTTGCCCTGCAAGTCAATACGAACTTTTCTAAAATTTCAAGGAGTCTAGATTCTTCATAATTTTCTACTAGTCAAGCTTAGTAGCCAAGCAGAGGGCAGTGAAATCTAAAAACCAAACCCAGTTGGAGCCAGGGTTCGAATTGCTTGTACTGATATCATAGATCTTATCTGGCCAGAGCCTAGATTTTTTTCCCTCTGAATTTCATCTGCTTTTCATGAAAAGTCCTTTACATCATTGGTTTATTAAATTGTAAGCAAAGCAAGTTTACTCTCTCACTGCCCTTTCAAATGCTCCCTCTAGAGGAGTTCGTTCTTATCTTGGGCAGGCCCTATGGCTTTTCTGTTCCATTTTGACAGCTGGAAGACTCATTTCAGGAGCTGAGAGTCCTTTCCGACATAATTTCCCCCAATTTAAAGCTCCCCTTCTTCACCCTTGTCAAGCCTTAGCCTGGGGTGCATTCAGTGGGGGTGGTATGGTCAGCGTCTTCTCTTACTGTCTCTTGGCTCTACCCCTCAACAGCTGCTGGTCTGACCCACCCAAGACTGGGGAGATAAAGGAGAGGGGGGAGGTAGGAGGAAGTGTCCAGCCTGATCGGCACAGCTGTGAGATGACATTGGGGGGGGAGGATGCACAGCTGCTAGCGCTTTGTTCCATGAGGTGCTTTCATCGGTTCCACCACAGGGGGAGGGGAGGGGTCAGGCACCACAGCTTGGCTTCTTTTGAAAGAAATGTCACCTTTCTCCTGTGACCTGGATGTGAGCAAAGGGCTAGTGCTGGCATAGTCAGTTCCACCAGCACTTCCTATGGTGCCACAGGTGGTCTGGAGCATTGCCAAAGACACGGAGGGCCTGGAACTAGGGAGACCAACTCAACCAAGTTGCCCGGAACTTTCCCATTTTTGCCACTCAAATTCCCATGTCCCAGGTACCCCCTTAGTCCTGGGCTGAGCATGACCATTGGTCACCCGACTTGGCACTTCCTGAATTGTTCCCAGCTGTTAAAATGGTGCCACAGGTGGTCTGGGGCATTGCCAAAGACACGGAGGGCCTGGAACTAGGGAGACCAACTCAACCAAGTTGCCCGGAACTTTCCCATTTTTGCCACTCAAATTCCCATGTCCCAGGTACCCCCTTAGTCCTGGGCTGAGCATGACCATTGGTCACCCGACTTGGCACTTCCTGAATTGTTCCCAGCTGTTGGAGCTTCTGCTGAAATTTTGAGAAAACAGGAGTAAATGGAAAACTTTCACACTTACTTCTAGAGTTTAATTAATATCGACCAATTATTTTAAGATAACCTCAAATTCTATTCTGACCACCATAATATTTATTAGGTTTTGTGATGGGATTTGAGTGTTTTTATGGGTATCGCAGCCCAGAACACAATACTAGTTGAATCCTGCCTTCCTCAGCCACTCTATTTTGAGAGTAAAACACAGTATAGTAGTGCTATATTATGAATTAACTGGATTTAAGCTCCAGTTCTCCCCGTACCAAGAGGCCGGTGGGCTAGAGTGAATGCCAATGTGTTTCCTTTTCTCCCTAAATATACTGGTCCTCAATAGGTCTGATGAAAGGTAAATCCAACATATCCTCTAGTCCCAGAAAAGATGCAACCAGACAGAGACAGAGAGAGAGAAAGCAGGAATGAACTCTGTATTGGCTGGACTGTGAAAAGTTGTGGCAGAGCTCTGGTGCCAAGCCTGGCTGGAGGGTAGGACATTCCAGAGCTGCAAGAAAAAGATTTCTGGATCTGTTTCACTGGGCAGTGTGTGTGGATCCTCAGACAAGGAGGGAGGCTTGAGGGAGAGAGACCTGGAGACCTCCAGAGTCCCACTGCATCTTGGGTGAGAGGAGGGGAGGGTAGTCATTCAGAGAGCCACACCTGGGTGGATGACCGTCTATTGCTTGGTAACCCCACCTTACAGACGGAGGAAGCAAAAGGGAGCAGAAGATTAACATGCCTCATTGGGGACCACATTTCCACCTTCTTAGTAGTTTTTCTTAGCTCTTGGCTGTTAACATCCAAGCCTCCTACTTTTTAAAACAAGTTTATTGAACTCTCTTAGGACTCTTGTATGAACTCCTATTATCTTGTTAAATATTATCAGGGTGACAACTAGCAAGGCTGAGTTTGTTTGCTCTTGGGACAAGGTCTCTCTAATGATCAGTATTTGTCTCATGGGCCATTTAGGTCTTGAATAGGTGAAGCCCCCCTCAGTAACTCTTCAGTTTGAAGACCAAAAAGTGGGATTATGTTCCTAATCACTAGGCCCACTTTGGGTTTGACTGAAGTAAAGATGCTTTTCCCTTTGTTGGCCTAATGTGCTCATAATGTGTTTAGAATTTACAGCACTTAGGCCCCAGCAGTCCGGAAAATATGTCTTCATGAGATCTGCATGACCCTGTCCAGCACCACTGATGGTGGTCATTGGATGGTGGGATTTGAAAACAAGAAATAAGGAAAATGTTGTTTTCCTGCCTTAGAAAATAAAACATATGTGAATGACAGCAAACATTAGGATGCCTGTCCAGACAATTAACTTGCAAATACAAGAACATTCTCTGCTGTGGCGTCTGTCAATTGTTAATTGCTACTTGAAATGAAGTTTTGGAAGAATTGGTTCTACCCATGCCTCTTGGTTAGCCTTCTTCTGGTTAGTTTCTTAGATCCTAATATCTCTGTCCAAACATAGGCAGACAAAGCCCTTGGTCACATTTACTATCACTTTCAGCAAAAATACAAATATCATCATTCAGGGTGATATGTGTGGCATGTATCTCACCTGTGGAGCACCTAATAAAGTTTATTTTAACTCACAAGCTGCCAGTTATTTCTCTCTCTCCACTAAAAAAAAAAAACCCCAAAACACAAAAAAAACAAAAAACTAAGTGCTTTCACTTAATTTTGTAGTTTTTTCTCAATGATCTCTCAATATTTTATTTTCTCTGATCTGGTCAATGCTCAAAGAGACACACGTGAGTACAGCCCTGTCTCTGGCTACCTAACTGCAGCGTCAGAACTGTGACAGCAGCCGTGTGTTTCATTGTCATCAGCGGAGCTTGCTAGATTTTGACTTAGGACAGTCTTACTGAAGCCTAATTTTTCTGCTAAAGCATTCTGTTTCGTGTGAGATTTGAGGGGTGAAATTGGGGTAGACCTTCTGTAGTTATGTATCAAAAATGCACACTTGGAAGAAAGACTTTGAAACTCTAGATATTTGTGGAGCAGAGTTTCCTAAGTATTCCTTTGTCTACCTAGGAAGGACCTCAATAAGGGAGGAGTGGGCAGGTTCAATGACAAAAAGAGGCAGAATAAAGAAGTCTTCTCTTTCAGGTCCAAGAAGGCCCAGAGATGAAAGTGTGGACTTCCACGCTGCTTTGCTTCCTGTGACCTGTGGTCAGATGAAGGGAATTTTACATAGAAAGAAACTGAAACGAGGTGGGTGTGGTGGTCTTCTTTAATTCACAACTCCTATCTGAAGGAGTCAAAACAAGTGGTGGCATTACCCATGTGAATTGCACATCATTTAAGCAATTGGAGCCCCAGTTTGGCTTGAGAGGAAGAGGAAGGGATCCCTAAGGTGATATTTTCCCACTAAATACTCATGCATGTTAAGTGCTCACTCCATGGAAGTGTCCGTGGGATTGCTCAGAGAACCAAAGAGAAGTGCACGAACTTCAACTCACGGATGACAGATGTTCTGTGTTTTACTTCAAACCAGACATCAGAGACCCCGGTGTCTATCTGTGCATCACTCACCCCCTTCTGGATCATCATCACCCAGGGCAGGGCGCTTGACATAGTGAGAAAATCACAGAATTTAGAATTTAAAAACCAAAGCACATCTATGACAAGAATTCTGAATAGAGAAAGACAACTTTCTGAGCCTGAAATTTCCCATCTTAGAAAGGGGGCAATTATTAAATCATGCCTCATGGTTTAGCTGTGAAAATTAATTTTCATAATTGATGTAACATAATTTGTAAATTCTAAATCTTTGCAAAAAATGTCCATTTTGATTAACTTCATCTCAGACCTTCTTTTTTTTCTCAGCTTATAGGATTCCACATAACTCAGACCTCTCTCAATATGGCTCTTCGGTTACCAAGACTATTTTTTAAATCAGTTTGACTGAGATATAATTCACATATCATGCAATTCACCACTTAGAGTGTATGAATTAATTTTTTTTGTGTACTCACAGAATTTTATAGCTATTACCACAGTGTAATGTTAGAACATTTTGTCCCCCCCTAACAGAAACCCCTTGTCCATCAGCAGTCAATGCCCATTCCCATCTCACCCCACTGCCCAGCCCTAAGCAACCACTAATCTGTTTGCCACACTATAAATTTGCCTATTCTACATATTTCATATAAATGAAATCCTACAATATGTGCCCTATAATTACTGGCTTCTTTCAAGTAGCATGTTGTTGTCAAGACTCGTTTACGTAGTCGCATGGATAGTAATACTTCATTCCTTTTTATTGCCACATAATATATCATTCCGTTGTGTGAATATACCACATTTTGTTTATTCAATCATCAGTTTGGCTATTATGAATAATGTTGTTTTGAACATTGATGTGCAAATTTTGTGTTGATGAACATACATTTTAAACTCTTGTGGATATATCCCCAAGAGTGGAATTTCTGGGTCATGTGTTAATCCTATGTTTAGCTTATTGAGGAACTACCAGACCACTTTCCACAGCAGCTGCATTGTTTTATATTCCCACCAGCATTGTATGAGGACTCCAGTTTCTCTACAAGCCCACTAGCACTTCTTACCATCTGTCTGCTTTATTGTGGCTATCGTCATGGGTGTGAAGTGGTAATTCATTGTAGCTTTGATTTGCATTTCCGTAATGACTAATGATCTTGAGCATATGATTATCTTTTCTATATAACATAAATTTTCAACTGGATAACCTTTCACAATCTTTTAAACTATTGGCTACTCATGATTTTAGGGATGAGAAAATCTCTGCTTAATAACGCCATTAAACTGGATGAAAAACATAATAAAGGGTGCAGATCTTACTGTGATGACTTCTTGAGCCTCAGGGCACCCCTGAGACCTAAGCCTAATTTGAGAATTCTGCAACACAGAGCCATCTGGAGACTCTGCACTGTTTTCTATTCCCAGAAATCAACAGCAAATTGAAATCCTCTCATCCTTCAAAATCACTTGCTTTTCCTTTTATGGGTGATTTTGAAATACTTTTAAAATGTTGCTTTTGATGGTAATTATCACTTTCTTTATGTATGAGGGTCAAATAAATGCACATACACACCAGGAAATCTCCCTTCAGTGGACTTTCAGGCTGGGTTTGGGGACCCTTAAGTCCGAGAGGGGTGGTCAGACTCCCCTGCTATTGATCTTGAGCTCAAAGGGGATGACTCCAGGTCTGGTGTGGTGGGAAGCCATAGTCTGAGCTCTGAGGACAAAGAGGGCTCAGACTCAATTTACCTGGTCTTACAGGAGTTATGAAGTGTATACAGAGTGAGGATGGAAGTTGGTTCACTCCCAGGAAATTTGAAATCAAAGGAGGCTATGGAAGATCAAAGAGCTGGAAGCTGAGTGTGCGCTGTGGCGGGTGGCCCCTACGATGGCTGATAGAGGTATTCCAGTGACAAGGGGTGGGAGATGTGCCCTTCCTTGCTGCACCCTAATAATAAGGTCACTATTTATTGACTAAATATTTGCTGCACTAGAGCTAAAGCCCTGATGCCAGTGAGTTTATTCGCTCACACGGATAGGGTGTGACATTCACAACAGTAGTACAGGCAGCACATCATGGTTGTAAACGGGGCTCCATCAGGAGACATGCAGGAGCTTGGAGGAGGGAAAAGTCGTCCTAAGAAGGACGTGAGCAGACAACTTTATGCACTGGAAGGAAGAGGAGAGTCTATAGTTAAACAAATGAAAGAAGACAGTTCAGAGTAAGAATGGCCTGAAAACCAGAACCACAACTCCAGTAGCTCAGTGGATTTAGGTAGATGGGTTGTGTTCGATGAAGCATTATCCATCAGCTGGGGTTGTTTGTGAAGGGCTTTAATGCCGGGCTAAGGAGTTTAAACTCATAATCTAGACAACCGGGAATCAGTGAAATCTTCTGAGATGGAAATGACATCTGAAACAGTCTTTTAGACAGCCATGGGGCTTTGGAATGACTTCACTGTCTCTCTGCCCTGCAAGCCTACACTCAAACTAGAATGCCCAGCTCAAATGTTACCCTTTCCTGAATATTCACCGACTGACCTGGCCCCTGCTCATCCCTTCCCATGGCTCCTTGAGCCTGCTACTGAGGCCCTTTTATGCTGTTTTATATTTATCCTTCCATGAGTTCTTTTTCTCTCTGGTCCCTCTAGGCTTTGTCCATCTTTGTGTGCCCAAGATTGATCACAGAATCCGACACCCAGTAGACATGTGATAAGTGTGTGTTGACTGGATAGTGGGTGGGAATGGAAAAGAGATGATAGATGTAAAACAGACTGTGAGGGAAAACCTCTTAGGACTTAGGAAAGAAGCACAGGAGAAAGGGAAGGGATGATGATTTCCTAGCTTCCACTGGTTGAAGTCTAAAAGAGGTGCGGACGAGAAGAGAGAGATGTTTTCTCATTTACACACCTTGGGTTTGAGCTGGCAGTGGAACATCCAGGTGGAAATATTTGGGAGGAGGTTGGAAATGACAAAAACACAGGTTGACAATATGCTTGGATCTTTTTGTCTTTCAGAAAGGATACCTACCTAATCCTCCAAGAATGAATCACAGGAAAAAAAAGGTGATTATTATATAACTTTCTAAGCTTCTTGTCACATAACTGATTTTACATGTAGAGCATCTTATTTTATGGCATCTCAATTGGGTAGTTATAATCAGGCTTCCACTTCCTCCAATCTCCACCCTTTTTTTTGGCATATACCTTCAAAGTCGATACTTTGAACACTACGTTGTACATAAACCTGTGAATGTTAAGCCATTTTGAATGGAGATGATAAGGAGCCATCAAAACAGACCTCTTTTGTGTGTTTTAGCAATAGGAGCAGATGTTTTAAGGGTGTCAAGTTTGGAAAAAGAAACACAATTATATGATACATATAAACACTGCATAGTAAGGCGGTAGGATCATTTTCAATTTAAACCCAGATTTTTTTCATTGATTGTACTATTTTCTTGTTGCTTTGTGTTACTTCACCCCCACGGATTTGTCACCCCACTTCCCCTGGGTGACAGAGATGCAAAGGATTACTCAAAGCCCATCTCTACTGAGCAGTGAGAGGCCCTGAAGTGGTTAACTTCCCTGGAACCCTCCAGCGAGAGGCATTCCTTCCTTGGGAAATTAATGCCGAATTGGGGTTCTCCTCCTGCATTTATTTTCCAGACCAGGAAGCTATAGGAAGAGACATAGGTGGGGTTATAGTGTAACAATATAGGCTGATAACTCTCAGTGAAACAAGCCGGATGACATTCCATTAGACAATTAAGTGGTCTTATCAACACAAGCCTGATCTCAGCAAACATTCCTTCTTAACAGCAATTTCTCAGTATCTTTACATAACAATCAGTACCTAGTCTGTCTTTGAGCCAGCAACCTGCTGTGCCACAATTCTTATCTTGCAACAGAGACTTATACTCTGAGGGAAATTTCCTGTCCTTGCAAGGTCCAATATTTGAAACTGCAAGGCTTTGGAACACCAGGCCCTGTGAAGTACATATGCTTTATAATATATTCCACATTTTCTAACTTTAATGAAATCTGATGAAGTAAAAGTTTGCTCACAGTCTTTCAGGTGTCCCTGGATCAGTAGATGGTTTATCTTGGAACATATGTGAAACCATCTATCATTCCAGGAGATATATCAGCAAAAAGCATTTTGTTTGTTTTGTTTCTTGGTTCTTCACATCCTCCTCCACCTTTCAATAAAAATTCCCCGCTGATTTTTTTTCTCAAGGGGAAATTATTTGCCTTTCATGAGGGCAGTGCTATTGTTGAGGAAGGTCTTGGGAGGCAGATGGATCGTATAGGAGGGGCTGAACTGGAAATCTTTTTACTTTGATGCCACCTCTTTGGCTGCACCAGAGGGGCTGTGCAGGCCTCCTTTAATCTGTGAAAGTGATTTCTCCTGCTATGGGAGAAGGCAACAATTAGGTTAAGTGCAGTGTAGATTCAGGACAAGGTGTTGGTTCTTCCAAGATTGGGTATGAATAAGAATGCAAGGAGGAGGGGAGGGGGAAGTGCCATCCTTATACACTTCAGGTAGAAAAAATGCATCCAAGACACTTCATGGACTTCTGAGATGGGTCACACAGTAACTGGCCACTGATCTTCAGATTCCCCTGGGAATTTGAGGTCCAGGCCTTTTCATTGTCTGATGTTCTGGGATTTGGATAGAGAGGAGAGGAAGGGACCTTCAAGAAGAGGAGCTGCAGTCCTGGGAAACTTGGGTGCATTTTATCCTCAGGGTCGTGTCCCTAGGATTGCTGCAGGAAGCAGGGAGTTCTTCTCTGGGACACTTGCATGGCTTCCAGGACTCTGGGCCCTGCAGTTACAAGGGGCTGCAAGTGATGAGTCCTCAGGCTGATTCTCACGGGAGGACAAAACTTGGGCAGCCAAGTTGAAGGTAAATGCTTGAGGGTCCCTCAAAGAAAGAGGACAACTAGAGTTTCTTCAACTCACTTTGTGGAAACCAGGACCAGGCTCCCTGCATGGCTCCAAAATGGCTTGCCTTGAGTCCGAGAGCCAGGGAATGCAACTTGCCTTGGGCCAAACAGTGGTACTTTGACATGCCAAAGCAAACACTTCAGTCTGTAAGGAAATTTAAAGGAAGCTTATAGTTAGATTTGCAAACCGGGAAGACTACCTCTCAGGATGAGAAGTAAGGCTGCCCAACAAGCAGAAAAGTCAAGAGGGTTTCACAGTCTAAGTTCAGGAAGGTCTAAGCAGTAAGCAAATTTTAAAAACTGTAAGCATTGCGTGAAGACAGAATGGGTAAGTGAGCGTGACGTATTGACCAAATGGTTTCTCAGACCTTTCCAATCTTTAAGGCTGCTCTTTTCTAGACTATTCAATTCATAAGGAGTTCCCATATGTCTAACAGGTTAACACATCCTATCTTCCCAGGATTTGCCTAAACGATGTTCCCTGTGCTTATCTACACAAGAGTCTGTCTGTGAAGCAGTTACATTCTAATGAAGGGGCAGCTTCTTGGGCTAGAAAAAAACAAGTCAATTAAGTTTTTTTTTAAAAAAATGGAATCATCATGGTTCTTTTCTTTTATTCTCCTTTCCTTTTCTTTCTCTTTTCTTCTTCATCAGCACGTCTTAGTCTCCTAGTAGATATATAGGTTTATACAAACAGGTATGAAGTAAAGGGTAGTCTGTGTTGAAAGAAGAACTTTAAATGAAATAAACTTAATGGAGTTTGCTTGAACGAAGTAAATAATTCATGAGTTGGGCAGTGTTCGTAATCAGAAGAGGTTCGGGGAGCTCCACTTCAGCAGTGCGGGCAGTGAGCTTTTACAGGCTGATGTAGAAGTAAGACAAAAAATATATATTTGATTGGTCAGACCCTAGTTAGAGGTTAGTTGGCAGTTTCTGACTGGTAAGGTGTCTAGTGTCATTTTACTATTGACATTGGGCATTTGTTTGCTTCCATAGGAACTTAAAGCACTGGAGCTAACCTAGCCCAATGGCCTCCTAATGAAAATATTTTTGATAGCTGTTCCTTGAATCCTTCAAATGATGATTGTTTAAATAAGTGATAGATTTAAACATCACATTTAATACTGTCACTCAATCTGTTTTTCTTTTCAGCAGAGAACACTGAAGTCTCACAACAGAACCTTAGCTGACCCTTGTGTAAGTACTGAGCTCCAACGATAGCCCCACAACAGTCCAGGTCCTATCCCTGGCTACGTGTTCGGTGGCATCTCTGCTTCTCCCTGGCACATGCTCACTCTCAGTGGGAAAAGGCTGCTGTGTGTGATGAGCAAAGACTCCAGACACATCGCCCAAGCCAGGTGGATGGGTCTGTGCTATGCCTCAGTGTGCACACATCCTTTCTGTCTGCTTCAGTGGAAAGCTTCCCATCTCCTCATTTCTCCCGAAAGTGAGCATGGGAGGAGGAGCTCTAGACTCCTGGGGTCTCTAGAGACACACGTTGAGGTGGTAATGGACAGGGTGGGCCTGTTGAGCAGGGGTAATGAGCAAATTTGAGAGGATAACAGTATTTTAAAGAAGTCAGTGGGAATGGGAAAGAAAACCTCAGACATTCACTCCAGGCACAGGCAGAGCTCAAGACGATCTTAGGCATCAGCTGAAGGAACAGGCCAGGCCAAGTTGGTGAGTTCAAGGTGTGGACTCTGCAGAGAAATGCACACAGGGCAAGTGGGTCCATAACAGAGCCCCTGTGGCCAGTGTCGAGGGAGCCAACGGGGTGCTGAGCTGGTTAGCACTGAAACTATCACCACTTAGCAAATCAAAGGTATTTCTATTCAAACTGCTTGGCAGGTGCAAGCCATTCTGATCCCACAGGCCACATTGATTCTCTGCTTGCAATATGGATGCTTGCTTTGCAGTCTGCCAGAATCACGGGTGACACCCCCTCTCTAAGCTAAATCATACTATGCTTCTTTTCTTTTGTCATGAGGTGGACATTTTAGGCAGGGTCAGCTTTTTGCACAGCCCTAAGGGGGAGCATTCACACAGAATATCATGCAGAAATACTAACACATGATACCCAATAGCAAAGAATAAATAGTTTTATACACAATACCTCCAAAGCAATTTCCCAACAAAATTTAGATCTTATCCACACTGGTATGAACCTTCAGCCAATTGAGGAAGCCTTCAATAGTCAAAGCAGCCCTGGAGTCCAGTGTTTGTGCGGCTTGTTTGGGATGACCTGAGACTCAGAGAGTTAGGTCACGCAGCCCACAGCCGAGAGTCTGGGGAGGAGAGAGAAACTGTTCCAGCAGAGGTGCTCACCCCTGTCAATAATCTTTCCTGAGACAGATATTAAGGCCAATAACAACACTGACTTACAGTATCTCCATACCTTAAAAACCAAACTGCTCCAGCAAAATCTCCACTCCAGCTGCACACTGGAACCACCTGAAGAACTTTGAAAAATATTATTACCTAGATCCAACCCCTAGAGGAAATTCTGATTTAATCATTCTGGACTATGACTTGAACATTAGGATTTTTAAAAGTCCCTAGATGATTCTGATTACCGATTCTATGACATAAATAAGAATACAATGCCGGTGCCCCAATCCGAGCCAAGTGATTCAGAATCCCTGGCGTCAGGACCAGGGCATTAGTATTTTATGTACTTTCCCCAGATGACTCTGACGTGCAGCTGGGCTAAGAACCAAAGGACAGAGAACGAAGTCCCTTGTTACAAGACTGGGGATGCAGGACTCTTAAACATCTGTTACATTTGTTATTTCCCTGTTCTTCTGGGGAGAGGAGTCATCACTTTCTTGAGAACGATGGTGATAATCCATAAGCATCTGCACTGGTGACAGGAAAGTGGCTCCGTGGCTCCATGACACAGCAGGCTCAGTCACCAAGTGGGGATGTGCATGAGATGGTCACAGGAAGGCGGAAGATCCTCCAACAACCCTGGGGTAGACAGGATGTTTGTCTACGGGAGTAGAGGTACCACCCAGTCGATGTCACACTGTCTCCACTCTGTCACAGAAGGTGGAACCAGGAGAGCAGGGCAGGGCGACAGCCCCTGCACACACCACTCAGTATCTCCTGATTCACACGTCCTCACCTATTATCAGGGAAAACAAACAAGCAATGTGGTTTCCTGTTTTAGTCACCCGTCTTCACCCCCTTGGCTTTGGAGATGGTCCAACACAGCACATCTGACACTGGACGGATGAGACTGACAGCAGCTTATTAGTCATATAGACTCAGAGCCCGGGGCAGGGGGCTGCACACACTCGGGGCCACGTGGGGGCTGCGCTGGAAGAAGGGGAAGGGCCCGCGGCTGTGGAGGGCAGGACCTCGGTTCCCGCGGGAGGTTGTGATTGGGTTTGAATGATCCCATGGCTGGAGGAAAAAAATGGCTATTCCAGGACAAGCAGGAGTTACACATGGTCCCCTTGATAAGAAGCGCCTTTAGCCAGGAGACTTATCCCAGGAGCAGTGGGGAGAAGTTGGGGACAGGCCGTTCTAGGTCCTCCCAATTTAACCAGATGTCCAGGCAGCACATAGTACTGTCCTCTCATTTCAGTCCGCATGCTGCCAAGGGCTCGGTCACAGACCAGTCTTTGTCACGAATACACACGTATTTGCACAGCATATGGTGTAGATGTGTTGGTGTCGTTATATTTAATCTACGAATTCTGTGGGTTTTAACGAATAGAAGTTACTTCACAACACTTGGATGCAAATGCTGCTAAATTTTAACTTCTCTAAATGAAATTAACTTTGGCTAAAGCCCCCGCATGTAGAACTATGAGAATCTAGCATCAGTTGATCTGGGAAGTCTCCACCCTCTTTTTAAGAATGAAGCAGCAGCTCTTTGACGGGCCCAGGAAATGAGGGTCGGGCCTCCGTCTTCAGCCCTGGGTGGCTGCTGTGACCACACTCCCTGGCCACTAGACGTGGCGCTTCCACACCTTCCATGCCAAGCTCAGCCATGGGGGTCTTCCCTCAGACTCCCAGGGCTGAGGAGCTCTGTCCTCCCTGGTTCCCACCTGGTCATCTGTACCCACCTTCNTTTTTCCGTGTCTGGCAACGGATCGCAACCCTCAGTGTCGCGCCCGTACCGGACCGGGACCCGCAATGGGATCACAACCCTTGGTGTTGGGCCTGCACCTCGCTCAGCCAGTGAGCGGGAACCGGTCTGTATGTGGGATCCAAACCCTCGGCGGGAGCGCCGCCCCGCACTCCCAAGTGGCGCACTGTAGCAGTGCACCACCGGGCCGGCCCCAAGCAGCAGCTCTTTGACGGGCCCAGGAAATGAGGGTCGGGCCTCCGTCTTCAGCCCTGGGTGGCTGCTGTCGCCACACTCCATGGCCACTAGAGGTGGCGCTTCCACACCTTCCAGCCAAGCTCAGCCATGGGGATCTTCCCTCAGGCTCCCAGGGCTGAGGAGCTCTGTCCTCCCTGGTTCCCACCTGGTCATCTGTACCCACCTTCCTTCCATTCCAGAGACTCTGCCACACGCCCAGGGACCCCCAGGCCCAGAACTCACAGTCCAGGAACTCCTGCTAAAGCCTTTTCTTCAACTCATGGGGAACTTATGGCCAAGAATATGGGATGCAGTGATACATCCCAGAACTTTATTCCACCGTATTTAATTATCAATACGTCTCCCTTCCATGAATCAATTTCATCACTGTGGTGTAGGCAAATGCATCTAACACTTTATTTCAGGACTTGTTTTATCTGCAAGATAATAATTGATCATCCTACAAAGTCATCATCTTGTTTTGTTGCTGGATTTTCTGTGTTAGAATCTCTGGTTTTTTAAGAAAAACTTCTGTGGTCTGACACACAGCTTTCTCCTCTTTGGTGAAGACAGGACGTCTTCTTCCGAAATCTCCACTCCCTGCTGTTCCTTAATATGCCAGGCAGAAGCCTACACGTATCCATGCAGGTTCACGCAAAGGCAGTGTGTTCTAGATTCCCACAGTGGTGCCTTGTGGGATCTCTCTGATCCTGGTGACAGGCACATTGTTTCACTTTCTAGCCAGGAAACTCGGATGTATGTGAGGTGTGCCAGGATGGAGGACAGCTGTTCTGCTGCGATACTTGTTCCAGATCCTTCCATGAGGACTGCCACATCCCACCTGTGGAAACCGAGAGGTCAGTGGGATGCAGTCCCCTCTCTCTCCTCTCCTTCTGGGAACTTCCCTCCTACCATGCACACTCTCCTCCCCCATGCATGTGTCCTGCTTGTGTCTGGATGGGAAGGAGCAGTGTCTTTAGGTCCTGGGACCCCGCAGTGTGATCCAGAGAGCTGTTTAAGGACACGGGCAGCAGGAGGTTAATGATCTTTGTGCTGTCCGAGACCCACCCTCTAGGACGCCAAGGCCAGTGCCTGGGCCCCTTTGCCTATATACTGTTTCTTTCCTCGAAGTTTTGCAGCAGGGACTCCTGTCCAAGGCGAGTCGGGTACAGGACACACCGCTGGTTGATGTTCGCACTTATTCAGGAAGGGCAGGAAGCATGGCTGGTCACACATTTCACCATGGTCTCATCGGGCTGACAGAGGCCCACGGTCCCCAAGGGTTAAAGCCCAGTTTCTGACACTCGGGCCTGGCAGGCGGGGCTCCTTCTGCTCACAGCAGCTCAGACGAGGAAAGCGGGTCCCACCACTCGATGACACCACCTTGCTCAGACTGTCTGCCTGCTGCTGCCACTGATGGGAGGGGACCATCGGCTGGACACCCCTTATGAGGGTCTTGGACACTCTGGGAGGTGTCCTCCACCCCCACAGCTGAGCCCATCGGCCAT